AATGTTGAAGCTCAGAAAAAACCCTGTTTTTTTTCCGGAAAAATGGAAATTTTTGGAAAAATTGAAAAAAATGGAAATTTTTGGAAAAATTGAAAAAATTGAAATTTTTGGAAAAATTGAAAAAAATGCTACATTAGCACTACTTTTTTCTTTTCCAGATTGAAAGTCATTCTGTTACTTTAGGAACATAAAATATGACTATGAACATTTTTACTTGGCATGAAATGATCACAACTAGCCTATTAAAAATATAGTGTATCCAAACAATTATTACAAACAGAATACCCACCCACATGCAAAAACAAAACTGAAACCTTTTTCTTTTCTTGTGACAATAGTACCTCCTAAAGGAAGAAATGCATCTTGTTCTTGCATTGGAGAGTTCAGTTTGTAACCTAGGACTTGCTTGTCCTCAGTGCACAGAAATTAGATCAATCTGATACCACACATATTTTTTAGAAATGATTTGGAAAATATTTGAACACCTTGTCTTAAAATATTTTATTCATCATGTTAAAATAAAACGTTTTCTTTTCTTTTTTCAATTTTTCAGAAAAAAACAAAAAAGGCTTCAGGGGAAAAAACCATTTCCCCCCCAAATTTTTCTGGGTTTTTTAATGGGCCTTCACATCTCTGGGGTGTGTGATGTGCTGGAAATCCAAGCATGAAGTATGCCACCAGATCTACCAGCAGTAAGATCTTAGGATATTAGCACTCAAGTCAATTCTCTCAGACATTTCATGCCTGGAAGCTTGTCTGTACAGGTCTGACCAAATTCTAGAAACTGGAAGGGCGGGCCCAAATAAGAGCCCGCTACAAATGCCTATTACATTTCCACACAAACAATTCCACGGCCTTGAGGTCATGTGTATACAGAAGCCAGTGCCTGTTGGTGAAGGGGGCCTATGGTTTTGGACCTGTCCTTCTGCATTACAAAGATTATCAAGCACTGATGTTGGGCTGCATGTTGAGATTACCTGGGAGTTTCTTTTAAAAAAAACAACCCTCTCCAGTTGCCTCAGCGGGTAAGAACGGGTGAACAAGACAGTGAACACGAACTTCGGACTAATAGAAGTCACCACTCCTCCCTCTGAAGTTAATGCGCTCTTTGTCAACCAGGAATACCCTTTCAGCCTTTGCTCTGCTGGTCTGTAACCTGCTCCCAACGTACTGATAAAGAAGCGGAATTTCAGTGCTGCAAGCATGACTTGAACAACCTTATAAGGTCTTTAAGAAAGATCGTTATCTTGTACACAGTAAGAACTTCACGGCAGAGGACAGAAAGGCCAATTTTAACTACAAGAAAAAGCGAAAGATTCCCTACCCTTGCAACCTCGGTTGAAGTCGGGAGTTGCAGAGGGACGCAGAACAAATAAGCAGGGTGTGTTTAATACCCATGACTCCTTCTGTTCACATCGGGGAACAAAACCCACAACCAGTGATTTGAAAAGCTAGGACTGACGCCTGCTCACATTAGCCAGGCCCAAAGACTTGTACGTAGGAAGGCAGCCTTTATTTATTTAACTCCAAGACGAGACCGCTGCCCAGCACGCTCCAGCTGAAGGCTACAACAGGCACTACGCTTGCAGAGGCTAAGAAGCAACTTAGGAAAAGGATGCAAAATTAGATGGCATTTTAATTTCATTTAGCAAGCCGTTTCTGTCCCTTCAAGGCACGGTTTGTGAATGTGGTGCAGTGGTCAGAGCACTGCCCTGACGAGACCCAGGTTCAAATCCCCACCTGTCTCACGGGAGGAAGGGTGGGGTAAAAAATCCACTAAATAAATAATAAATACATAGTTGTGAGATTTACTGGCTGAACCTCAGGCTAGTTATTCTCTCTCATCCTCACCTACTTCAAGATGATAAAATGGAGGAGGGCAATTTATGACATTCTGAGCGCCTTTGAAGAAATGCAGGAAACATTAAAAACACCTTAATCAGAAAAAACGTGATAAGAAAGTAACTCAAAGCACAGTTGCGCTACTCAAAGCACACAAAAGGCAGCAACAGCCATGCAGATCCTTTGGTAAGAGGCTCGGCTACCCAAAAAAAAAAAGCATTTACACAGACAGGTAATCCATATCAAAAGATACGGACTACATCAGGTGTCCCCAACTTGGTGCCAATGGGCACAACTGGTGTCGGTTTCATTCTCTCTCACTTCTAAATGCAGAGAAAGAGTCAGCTTAGCGTTGCAAAGGGAAATCCAGCATCACAAACTTAAAAAAAATTATTTAAAGCTGCCGAACAAACTTATGGCTGGGGCCATCCAGCAGCCATGGGATAAGAGGACAGAACAAAAATTGGTTAAAGAAACTGAGCTTAAACGAACAGTTTCCACAGAGGAGGAAGACATCAGTAGGCTACCCCATGGGCATGTACTGAAACCACTATTACTCATTGGGTCTAGCGCCAGAGATAAGGAGCTGGCAGCCAAGTTTGTGGATGACATCAAATTATTCACGATGATGAAAACTCAAGCTTGAGTGCACAGACGATCAAAAGGATCCCTCCAAACTGCATGGGAATCAAAACGCAGGCTAAACATAACCTGGTTGTTTTAACAATGTGTTTTTGTTGGGTTTAATGCCTCTTAAGATGTAGTTGTAATACGTATTTTTTAAAAAAATTCTTAGCTCCCTTGTTGGTCCTTATGAGGGCAGAAAAGTGGGGCATACGTTTGGTAAAACAAATAGATGCAGAGAAATACATATAGGTATGAAAAACTGAGCCACATATGTCTTGAGGGTGCAAGGTAGATGCACTTAAATCACCCAGAAGAAAGACCAATTTAAACTGTATTTAGATTACATTTCCCATTTTGTAATTCATGCAGTTCCTGCACATGTGTCCATACCAGCTGGCTGTTATAAAACAATTAAAGTGATTTATTTGTGACTAAATCCAGCCTTTGTACTATCCAGGGGCATAATCGGAAACTTCGGGTCATTCAGCCCTTATGGCTTTTGCACGGCTCAGTTATTGCTGCTTAGAGACCAGAAGTAACTACTAAATGAAGGGACTTCTGTGTGGATCAGTGTTCACATGCCAGGTTCACCAAGCAAGATCACTTAAAAAGACAAAGACCACAGTCCAGGAGAGTGTTGAAGGGCACTGGATGGTGCGCCAAGTGCCCAGAACTTTCCAGAAGCAAAGACTATAATTACCAGGCACAGTAATTAAAATTAAAAGAAAATCCTATGTGATATTTTCTTTTTTAAAAACAGTAAAATGCTTCTTTTCACACTCTCTAGAGAGTATAGCACTAAAAACCTTGAGGATTTTTTTTCAGTCTTCCCAATGGAAAAACTGGGAAATTGTGATAACTAAAAAAGCGGAATTTCCTATGAAATATTTTCTCTTTGCAAGTGAGAAAACCTGTCATACAAAATGTTTAATTCATTCCAAATGTACAGCATGAAACAACAGTCTGAGGACTTTCTCAACAGAAAATTTGGAAATTTTGGGGAACACTGGGAAAGACTCATACTATAAAGATACACAATATTTCAAAATGTCTTTAAATATAATGTTGTCAACAATATGCTATAATATGTTTAATGATAATGCATTATTAATAATAATTAAAATTAAATTAATTAAAAGTGCTTTCATAAAGTTAATAGCTAACCATGCTGGCAGGCCTACCTATTGCGATTCAGAGAGTTTCTGTCCAACTAGTAATACACTTTTTTTAACTACAAAATTTTCACCTACCTTTATCTTTTTAATTTTTTCCTGCCTCTCAGATGGCAAAAATTAAAGATGCATGTGCTATGGTATGACAGGGTGCAGTAGTCTGCAACCGTTTCTCAAATACTGAGTATACTTACAATTTTTCTTATAGAAAATTAAGATATTTAGACTTCTAAATCCAATAAATACACCAAATAGTACAATTTTATATGCTAAGCTATAAATGATGCATTTTTATATTGTTCCATCAGTAAAAGAGGTATAAGCTTGACAGGAAATTACTGCATATATTTCAATTTCCCCCAAATTTCCCCTTTTTTCCCCAAGAAGGGGGGGAAAACCCTTCAGCTTCAAGATATCCATGAAGAAAGATCCAGATAGGTAGCTGTGTTGGTCTGAAGCAGCAGAACAGACTTTTGAGTAGGAGTGTGCAAAAAATACAAATAAAAAACTTCGGCTCGATTCGGATTCAGCCGAATCAGAAAGACTCCCGCATGTCAATTTCGTCAGTACCAGCCATTGGGAGTCTTTTGGCCAGCCGAATGTCAATTTCGGCCCCATTATATCCTATGGGCCGGAAACTTTTTTCCCACCATAGAGAACAATGGAGGGGATGGGGCAACCTGTTTGGGGGTCCGTAGAATTGGACCCCCTGGTTCAAAGTTCTTAAAACTTGGTGGGTATCTTGGGCAGAGGCCCCAGAAGCTACCCTGCGAGTTTGGAGTCTCTCCCT